TTCTGGACATTTATGGTTTGATTTCTTTGTATGTATGGATCACTTGGGTTGTTACCGACATCTGGTGAACATTTCATATCATTAGCACCTCTAGTAATATATTTACTGAGAAAAATGGTGACGTGTTCAATACTTATTTTACCCGCTGTAAGCTTGTCTCAGAAGCTCATTTTTACCTGCCTTACATTTCATACAAAGTGTTTTAGTTCTATGAGAACCTAAATCTTTTCAAATGTCAAACAAAGTGTGTTAATGTTGCGCATTTCTAAAGATTATTGCGACTTGGTGAAGGTTTTAAACCTATTTTTCAGCACCTATTCCTGCCTGAACAAGTGCCTGCTTATTTCCTCTGCTGAATAAAATGTAAATGGTTTAATAATTTGATGTTTTGACCTTCTGAGAGGCATCTTTTCAGATACTTTCTTCCAAATCATGTTTAAAACTTACATAGCAACTTCTTGGGTGCAGTAATCAAACAAAAACATGTATATTTAAAGTGTACACAGAAATAAGTGACCCATCACATCGAATCGATGATTACTGTAAGTCCCAAAGTGGAAAAACAGGCAGATGTAGTGTTTTGGTTAAAACAATTTGCAAAAATATAATGAATAAATCAGCATGTCAGTTAAATGAAATATCTAAAATATAATCATAAATAATGTTTTAGGCACTTTTTCAGTAGTAGCTACAAATAAAAACACGATTTTAAGCAGGAAAACTTAAATTTTTGTATTTTTCCCAGCAAACAAGCAAAACTTTTTTCTTTACAGCTGTTTATTCTTAATTTCCAAATGTTGTTTGAGGTTTCCTCTTTAAAATGACATAAATAATTGCTCATTAGAATAATGTAAAAATAGGATTCAGACCACATATCCWGATTAGGAAAACAAATTAAGCCACATCTTGTATCAAAATCTTAAAAAGCAGGAACATATTTTTTAGGTAATTTAGACAAAATGTGACTCAATCCTCTGTTTGATGTTATGGGTCACAAATATTTTGTAATTTGAAAAACTTTGCATTCACTTGTTACAATCTAAGATAAACAGACTCAACCAACTATTTCTTTTAAGTGGGGTTATGTGGAGTGATTGTGAGTAGTCAGTATCTCATCTTCAGTATTACACAAACCTTTTAATTGTTTAAACCCTATTTGTTTGGATGATTTTATTGTACTCTAAAGTGACTGTTACTCAGTAGAATTTAAAGGTTTATTTTCTTCTTTTATTTCCCTTTAAACGCTTTGAATAATTCATGTTTTCCAACACGCTGGACCTCAGCAGGTTGATTTTCCTGCAACCTTTATCCTCCGAACTGATCTGATCAAACCATCAGAGCGAGCTGCGTGTGACCACCTTCTGTTTGTGCACGAGAAGGAACACTGTGGTCATTTGTAACGAACAGGAAAACCTGTTATTGTGTGTGTGAGTATGGGTGGCGGTGGGGGTTTACACACAGAGTTCATAATTTACTGTAAAGATAACTGAAGATTCTGTAAAACGGGTCATAAAACGGTGAAAACGGATTGTTGGTGAGGACTGAACCGATGCTACAATGATGTTAAAATCGCAGTGAGTGGGTTTAATGTTCTCTGACATAAACGTGTGTATGTGTGTGTGTMTTTGTGTGCGCGCCTGAACTCAGGATGTGTAGTTGAACAGGAAGGAAGTGAGGTAGCCGCTGAGGAAACTCCACAAACAGGAACACAAAGCAGAGCGTGTGTGGGTCTCGGTCCAATTCAACTGGTTCTGCTGCTGTTTCTCACATTCATTTTTTTATTTTTTTTACTAGTTTTATTCCTCTTTTCCAGGGTTCTCAGTCTGTAAGTGGAACCTGAAAACAGACAACAGAACCTAAACATGAATCTGCTCTAGTGATTCGAAAACACGAGTCAAAAAGCTGCTTTAAATCTCTTTATTCTTCAGCCTAATGGGGGTAATTTCCTAAGCCCTGGGTCATTTTCTAATAAAACCTTTAAACGATGACGTTCTTTTATACATTACAGCTGTTAGAACATGGAGAACTTATGAAATCACAAATGTTTTGAACATTTAAACCCCCCCCCCCCCCACCCAACCCACACACACACACACACACACACACACACACACACACACGCTGCAGAAAACAAGCCACCAGCAAACCACATCTTTAATTTTTCCACTTGTGTTGTTTCCCCCCCTGCTTCCTCTGCGTTGCTGTGGAAATGCACAGCTTAACCACCATTATTACAGCCCTGTGGTTTCTGCACAGCTGCTTGCGATAAAATTGTGACGCGAGTCAAAACGTGAAGAGAAACCCCGGTGAATGAAAGTGATCGTTGTCTGATTTTGTTTTGTTTACGTTTTTTTTTTTTTTACTGAAAACCTGTCGATGATACCTGCGCACTGTTCTTCAGAAAGTTATGTGAACTTGACACAACAACCTAGTATCTACAGGCCTTAGTTTTATTCTAAAAGGTTGTAAAAAAAAAATATGTGACAGCTTTTAGAAACGGCAGTGATGCCCACTCTAAATTTGCTCACATGGAGAGAAAACACTGAGACATTTATTACATGAGAGGAATAAAGTCAATCCAAGTTTCTGTTTCTGCCAAGAAGGAAGAAGTTGCAGAATAAAAGCATGAGAATCACACAAAAAGCATCAGTCAGAACAGAAAAAAACATGCTTTCATCTCTATTAAAGCTTCTAAGGTGATACTGTAGGGGAAAGTTTGGACACAGTTGGGAATCAAACAGGAAGAGGAAGGGAGAAACTCACATTGAGATAAACAAGAGGAACTCCACTTTGAGTTTCCAAGACCGATGTGGACCGAGCCAAATGTCGACAGCTCCAAGAAAACACCTAAAGACATCTGCTTCTCTGCAGCTCAAAGACACACATGTGGTGTCCAAACTGTAGCTGAGCTGTTAAAATAAAAAGTCCATCCATCCATCCATCCATTTTCTGTACACGCTTCTTAACGTCCTATTTTTACAGAACTATTTGAACTATTTCTGGCATCCGTGGTGTGAGCTTTGAAAAGTTCTTTTCCCCTAAAAACTCTTGACCCGAAACATAAATTATATAGASACTTTAGGGTCTGAAAGAATATCTGGGATGAGCTTTGTGGGGGAGGAGAAAGTATATTTTATAGGGAGCTGTAGAGATGGAGGAAGGAATGTTCAAAATTCCCACACTGTGAGGGGACGAGTGAACACATGGCCAGAAGCAGCAGCAGCTGAAACAGAGATTGAGCATCTTTGGACCAGGAGGAGGAAGTGGACGGTGGGGAAAACACCGTGAGTCTGCTGTTTCCATGCTTTCAATGCAGGAATGATCAAACTTAATTATTTAGATTCATGTGACGTTTGTCGCCTACTCGATCCGTTAAGAAGTTTTTTTTTTTGAAATGTTGAAACATTAGCTGGATGTTAATCTTTCAAATTAAATTAACCTCTTGAGCCCAAACCAGAATTTCCTGTTTACAATATCTTTTAACTTAACTTAAAATCTTTAAGCTGAACCTTGACATGTTTGGTATCAATACAAAGCGAAGAATCTTTGCTAAAAGCTCAACATCCAACAACACCAGTTAAAATGACAGGCAGTTGAATCAGAAAGTGAACATACTAAACAAAATGGGATTGTTGCAAATCTGTAAATACATTACAACAAATCTGTAAAGGAAAAAATTTTGACATTTGTTTTTAAAGTCAAAGCAGATACCAAAATATGTTATAAAGTGTGTTGAAAGTTTTTTTTTAACTTGAGTTTGAGTGAATACGGTCCAACTGAAGTCAAATATAATTTCTCATTATTTCATATAATCTATACATMATATGGTGACAAAATAAACGTTTGGATAAATTTTCAAAAGAACAAACATTCAATAACAAGTCTTTTCAGACAGGTAAGAAAAAATAACTTTTGCAATTAAAAACTTAAGATTTATTAATGGTATCATCATGGTCCGTCCTGTGCAGAATGACAAAACGCAAAATTATTTCTTTACGAAAACCTCTGTAACTTTGCTCCAGTTCATTTTAGCAGCATGAATCTTTGCACAGTTAATGTCCACAAGTGGATTTATGGTTTCCAAGAGTTTTTATGGTTTTAAATGGGCTATATACTATTTAATGAAAAATTATTCAGACGGGAGGGAAAAAACATGTGTTCCATCCTCAATATCTCTAAAACAACAGCAGTTTTAATACTTTTTCTTTTAATAAAATCTACTAAGTGTTAGCTTTATTTTGATACCAAGATTATTTATGTAGAGTTTGTAAATGCTGAGATACTCAGTTACATTTCAGGTATTTTGAGCAAAAACATCAAGAAACCCTCTTGGGGCTTAAGAGGTTAAACCGTTTTATAAAAAGTACACAAACTCACTTTTTTCTCTCTTCTTAAGTTGTTTGTGTTAGTGTGAAGAAAATATTTGAACAATCATATAGGTATTACTTAAAAAAACAATTATTTAAAAGAATGTGCAATTTTTTGTGAACTTAGCAAAACTTGAGTTTTTGTTAACAGTGTTGTTTAAATTCTCTTAAAGTGCTGCAAATACTATCAATGAAATAGTTGGGAAACCTTAAATTCATCTTTTTTTATTTCAAGCTTTCATTTAATACTTAGCACAAAGGGTTTCTAAACATTTCAACTCCACAATATCCTAAAGTGTTCAGACATTCTTTTTTTTTTTTGATGCTGTAAATAATTTCACAAAAACACATCCGTTCACACATCATTAACCCAAATATATATATAAATCTGCAAAAACACTAAATAAGCAAAAGAGTTCATTGTGATGACAAGACTCGCATCAAGAAACGGCACGTATCAAATCACCCAAAACATCTTAAAGTCACAAATATTATAGATCCTGCTTTAACAAAAAACGTCCAAGCACTCACAATGTGAAGCAGTAAAAACTCTACCAGATACAGCATGAAATGTTGGAAACAGAAGTTGAAATATTTGAACATAAATGAGACACATGATGAACATTCACTATTAAAGTCATATTAAAAACAATTTTTGTAGCAAAAAAAAAGGTTTGAAAGTGAAAGATAAAACTTGTACAAAAGTGGGTTGTTTATACTCAAACTGGAAACATTACGACACATAAATACGTGTTTTTTTGTTTTTTCTGTTTGCTGACAGAATTTAGTCTCATGACCTCTGAGCTGGTTGTTAAAGTTAGGACTGGATTTACACAAAACAGTCTATTAATATCATTGGTCCCCAGAACGCACATATACAACAGCATACACACACACCTCCCCCTCTTCACACACACACAGTCTGGTCCAGTGTAGCAGAGATTTACGGGACTTTCCTGTCTCCTAAAAAAAGAGTCTGTCGTCATTGAGCACCAGCAGCGAGGAGGGCCAGACCGAAGCATCCTGAGAGGTAAAATCCAGTGATGTCATCACTGTGGTCATGTGACCCCTGAAGATCCAAGAGAGCTGAGAAACCAGCAGGAAACCCCCACCTGAACCAAACCGAGGTGTTGACACATCAGAACTGAATACTGAAGAAATTATGTCTGCTTCAGAAGAACTCGAATGAGTTTAATGAATTACCTCAGTTTTTTCTATAAACACAAACTTCCTGTAATTTTCAATTATAATTAGTTGGTTAAAACAATCCAGCAACATCATCTTATTTAAAAATAATTTAATACAGATGAAAGAAATCTCTTTAGGTTTGATTTCTCAGATCCTCTGTTTTATTAATCATAATTAAACATCTCCTGTTTTTTCATCTTTTTGGAAAATATATAAATAAAGAAAGAACTGAGACTTTGTTATGAGGAATCATATCTGAACCTGAGAAAGACAGAAATATTTCATGGTTTGGACTTGTGAGAGGGTTTTTTTTGTCTAAACTAACTGCTTAGTTTGTAATCCTAAAAAGAGGTTAAAGGGGTTCTGCTGTTGCTCAAGGACACTTCAGCAGGGCATGTCGGTCGTTAAAGCCTTTAGCTGGATGTTGGAGACGAGGCTCGGAGGTTCGGAGCGAGGAGGAGGGCAATCAGCTGGTCTGAGTCAGTTTAACACGATCCTGAAACAAAACACATCAAACATGGAAATAGTTACGATTCTGTAGTTAATGAGTAAAAATATAAACGTTTAGCTACAACGAGGGAAATGTTTGTGTTTACCGGCTATAACAGACTGTTCCTGCCGTTCATGTTCGGGCCTTTGGACCTCATCTGCTCCTGAACTGAGCCGGACTGTGAAAAGACAACAACGGTTTAATCATTAAGCTACGTTGATAAAACACAAGCTTTATGAACCTTCACAGACAATAAAAAAAACGTTTGAACGAGACGCAAACATAAAAAAGGTTAATTTTAGAATATATTGTGTTATGCTTTTATAAAAGCAACATAAAGATGAAAAAAGCCAGTTACAGGAAAACAAAAGTAAAGATGTGATAGAGTAGTTAAACTGCCTAAATTTGCATCATTACTTATACTAAATGTTATTGTTTTACATTAGTAAAACACAATTTAAATTCAAATACTATAAAGTGAAAACTATTATAATGAAGTGTAGTAGATTTGATTGAAAATAACAATTCTAAATAATTTTATTAAACTATTTAAATA